GCAAAGTGTAGGACTGTATGTCCTTTCTGATGCTGGGAACCCTGGGATGATGAAGCTTTGTCTGGATCTCTGGTCAGGGCATGGCACGCTGCAGATCTCGTCTGCTCGGAGTTTGCTAGTACTTTTATGGGGTTTTGCTCCCAGTACAGATCCATCAATCACTGATAGCAGTCGGCCCTGGAATGTGGGCTTTGAAGTGTACCTTGAACAACATGCTCCAATATCCTTATCTCATTAATAAAGCTGCAGTTCCTAAGCAGGTGCATGTAATATTTCAAGTGGAAAAGGCCATGTACTGTACATATGCTTAAGATTAGGTGCATATTGATTTATTACACATTAATTATGTGTACATTCATTAATTTTACTATTGAATAGGCACAACCTGATTCAGTAGTGATTGTATGGTATCCGTGATACAGAGGCATATGCCTGGATGTGGGTCATTAACTGCTGGTACAATATTAGTCTTACAGGTTGATTGCTAGAAACAAGTTGAAAGGTCTTTGTAATACTTGAGTTGGCATGAAAGGGGTTCAGTTTTACAGGGTCTGATGAGGTAGATTCAGGCTGACTTAATCAGCTGTTCAGATGGGCGAGAAGATCCAGAAGAAGGTGATAGGTATGGTTAAGAGGCAAATAATGAAGAGCACGTGGAGTCAGTGCTTCCAGTCGTATTTTTCCGTTTCCACTTCTGCCATAGTGTTTCCTGAGAACTAACCTGCGGACTTCTTGTGTGGTAGGGTAAGCAATTTTTTCTGAGAGTTAGAGGGCTTAAACCCAGATGTGTTCCTGCCTCAGGTTTCTGAAGGAACTTCTCGAAGAAAGAATCAGCACTGCTTTCTCTAAGTACTTTACATTTTATTCTTTTGTAAACCTCTGGCTTGTTTTTTTTTTTTTACTGTTCTCTGTAGCTTGGTTTCTACACCACCTTTTCATTTTGCACTTGGAGGTCAGTTGAATAACTGCATGTAACATTTACAGGACTTTATATTGGCTAACTAGCCAAAATGTTTTGGTCACAGGTTTGTCTAAAAATAGACATTGCTATAAGAATGTTCTAAGTTTTTAGTTCTCGGTGAACGTAGGTCCTGCCATTTGCATTCTCTGAGCAAGTAGACCTAAAATTTCCCCTTAAAAATAATTGTGAAAATGTCTCGGTGTCAGTGAGCCCTGCTGACTGACAATGGACTCTTCCTGCTAAGCTGAGAAACAGAGTGGTACACGTAAGTTCTTGGTATTGGTCGCTGTAGAAAGAGGGTAGGCAGACTCTTGTAGCATATGAGGAAGAAGGAACGGTAACACGTTACTGTTAACTAGATTTTTTTCTTTAGAGAAAACAGACGGGAGCTCTGAATTTCTGGTAGCGTAAGCCTTCCAGACAAATTTGTATTAGTTTTGATAAACAAACTTTCGTCACAGTTCCATGGTCATATGATTGATGCATATTTCTTGGCCTAGAAATGGTGGTGTGTGCTTTGGAAGCGGTCCAAGAAAAGTCCTTCCTGAGGCAGCTATTTATTTTTGTTAGTATCCTGCTTCTTTGTTCCTTGGTAGAGTTAGCTGCAAGTGGGGAATGGGGAGCTGTAGTCGTAGCTCCAGAAGCTTCTGCGGTCACGTACGTGCTGCCTACCTGATACAGCAGCGTAGGCCAGTATCACTTCTTCTTAGCCTGATTATCCGTATAAAAACTTGGCCTGTAATGAAGTATTGAAGAGTTTTAAGTTCTCAGCTGATAGATGCTTGAAAATTAATTGCAGGATGGGAAGACATCTTACTGTATGTGGCTTGACTTCTTTCATGTAGAACACTCTGGTTTTGGGGATAGCTTCTGCTGGATACGCTAAAAGGTGTTGCAGAAGCCCTGATCTCCAGATCTGAGTCGCAGTGCAAAGGACTGTAGGGAGCATCTGCCTACAGTACTGCATAAGTAATCTTTCCTTTGTGGAAGTAATGCATAGTAAAGGCAAAATCAATTGCTTGAATATAGTTACTGTGTTCCAGAAGGTAACAAGCACTTTTTCCAACTATTTTTTTTTTAGGACCTAAATCTGTTGGTGTAACTCACTTTATATTTTGGAAGGCAGCGATGAAAGGAACAATGATCAGTTTCTCACTGGCTAATTTAATTGGTGGCAAAGCCTTAGATATTTGAAACTGTTCTCTTCTGAACTACAAGTATAGGTTAATCTACGCAGATTGTAGCATTTTTTTGAGAAATTAGATGAGGATCCATCCAAAATTGTTTTACAGTATGTATTTTCACTCTAGACAAAGGATCTGCCTATAAAGACCTTCTGAGCCTTTATTTTTCCAATCATATATCAGATTTTCTCTGTAGAGATTTTTTTCACTGCTTATACATCCACTGCAATACAGTACTTAGTAAAAGTGGAAGGTAATGTGAATAAAATACACGTTCAAAATCAGTGTCTTTTTGAGTCTGTCACAAAAAGGTGGTCAGACTGGGCTTTGTGCTAGCACAGTTCTTCTGCATTGATGAAGATTTATTGGGAAAAGCCTGATCTCTGGGAGTACTTTAACATTTCTGTTTAAGGATGTTTACCTTCTTAAAATATCCTTAAGCTTGTTACTAGAGTTTCTGAAGTCCTAATTGATAAGATTAGGGCAATGATCAGTTATGTATCCTCTTTTGGAAATGTTTTTTGAGTTTAGCAGCCATGTCAGTTGGTAGAGGGAAAAGGATTTTTCTCAGCACTAAAATCTGGAATGGCTGTCAGTTCACTTCTGCCTACTCTTACTGGGAAAGCTTGGTTGCTCAGCATTTTTGTGGAAATTGTGGAGTCATCTTGGTTGAAGTCATATGTTTGTGAGTTAGTTTTGAAACATCACTTAGGCCTAATGATTTTCAGCCCTAAATGTGTTTGGTAGCTAACACCATGGATGTGGTAGCTATTTTCAATAAAAAGCAAAAGCTAGGATGTGGGATGGGAAACCATAAAGGAAAAAACCCATGAGCTAGTAATTTGATACAGTGTTTTATCAAAGAGGGGAGATTGTCGCAAAATTCTGGGTGAATGTTTGGTTTAGAAAAGTTTGTGGCCTGGGAAGAGTGAAACAGAAGTAAGGTTACAGTACAAAGAAGACTAAGTACAACCATTTAGAGTATGACAAGTCATCGTCTCTAATGGCAATTTCCTGAGAACTGAAGTGATTTAACTTCATAGTGGTTTGTATGTGTGTGGCTTAATGGTAACTGTAAGTGGGTGCTGTGTTCTTAATTGCAGAATAGGTGAATTTGAGTGAAACCATTTCTTCCTAGGGCCTGAGTCTTGTGAGCGTCAGGTGGTTGGTGGACCAAAGGCTGGCTGTCTGCATGGAAGACTGGGTGGTGGTGATGACATTTTAGGGAAATGGACTTGTATATGCCAAAGACTATTTTGTAAGCCTTAGGGTTACGACATCTGTATTCTTCCTGATGGAAAACCCTGCCATTCTGCTGCTGTTGTGGTCAGCTTAAGTTGCTTTAATAATAGTTCTCTTCTGTAGAGGGAATTTTATGATGCTGTGAGAAGTCTTAAAGTGTGGAGCAAACATTTATTCCTCTGGTCCAGAATAGTGTAACCTTTTTGGTCTAAGCACTTATTACCATTGGGTTTTGTAAAAACACTTGGTTAGGAACAGACTCAAGATTTTTTTTTTCTTCTGATGTTAAAAGTCACAGTTCTTTTAAAATTCTTGACATATGTATGTTTCTAGTGAGAAAAGTCTTATTTTGTTGAACCATGGTTGAAATATTTTTGACTCAATTTCTTGTCTAATTTGAACAATGTAAAGGTATTTGGAAATGATAACTTGCTAGATAATTTTTGTAAACGTATATATTTATAGTGTATAATAATGTGTATTCACCATCATTTTTAAAGACAACTTACATCAGTTTATATACTTAAGTTTTCAATAAATACCTAATCAATGCTAAAACATATTTAAGTCGCCTATTTCTTAATGCTCTAAAAATTTGCCCACGGATTTTCCAATTCTGGTCTTTGCATAATGCATCAATAAACCCAAGCTTTTTCAATGGAAGGAAATATGGGAACTGGAGTGGAGGGGTGACATAGTGTAGCTGAACTTCCATTCTTGGCTCTTGCTGAGCTGCACTCCAGCAGCCCAGCGCTCATTCCT